GAGACTTCAGGGCCTGAGAATAATCCTCTGTGGCCCGATGCTCCATCCTCCGGGCACGTGGCGGCGGCCCTGCTCTCTGGGGCCCTGGGCACCCCACCGGGGTTCATGACACCAGATAAGAGGCCCCATGGACCTCGCCTGGGACCCCACCTCTGCCCCTGCGCTGGGCTTGTGGGTCACACCCCCAATCTCTCCAGCAACAGGTGTTCCCACAGCACCTTCGGTGTCTCTTCAGACCTAATTTAACAATCTGGGCAGGTTCCCTTTTGCCCAAAAGCCCCTCCCCCATTTGTCCCCCCTCCCCCAGGTTTTACCACAAGCAGCTTCGCTTGGAAATGTCCTCAGCTAAACCTCCAAGCTCGTCCCTTACGATGTCTCCTTTGCGCTCAACCCGAGAGCACGGTTCAGCCCAGTCTCTGCCACCCTCACTTCCCCTGAGCCTTCCTCGTCCCTATTTCTGCTGAGGAGCTCTTGGAGGACATCGAGGCATTTTCCGTCCTGTGCCCCAAACTCGTCTGTTCCCAGCTCCACAGCCACTCCCGCTGTCCAGCCTTTCTGGGCACAAAATTGGCCCTGGATCACTGGAGACGTGCAAAGTGCCACAAAGTTGCCAACAACAGAAGTTAAACTCATCAGAACAACAGAAATGTATCCTCTCTCGGTTCTGGAGGCCGGGACCCCAGGGTCAAGGTGCGGGCAGGGCCTCACTCCCTCTGGAGGTGCGGGGGAGGGCCCTCCTGCGCCGTCCGCCCCTGCTCGCTCCGCCATCTCCAGATCTCCACCACGGTCAGCTGCACCACGCCGCCGAGCTGTCACGTAGCCGTCCCAGAATGTCCTCTCTTCTCATACAGACCCCATTATGGGCTTAGGGTCTCCTCCATCCTTAATTTAACTAGCAACATCTGCAAAGACCTTATTGCAAATAATGTCACATTTTGAGGTTCCAGGTGGACATGGATTTGCAGGGAAACCATTCAACCTGAGACACATATGTTGGCTTGTTTCCCTTCTCCATCTTATTCTCCCCCCACTACAGTTTTCCTAGGTGGCCCCCCAAATAAATTCCTTGCATTCAACCAGTGTAGCAAGATCTGTTACTGAGAGAACCTTACCTGACACGGCCCCCCACTCTGAGCTCCCGGGGACCCACAAAAGACAAGCCCTCCCATGCTGAGCTGTTGTGTACCCCTCTGTGGGTGGGTGAGGATGGTGGCCCCTTCCCGCAAGGTTTTGGGAGGACATGGGAGAGAATGCTGTGGGCCCTGGGCTGAGGGCCACATGCACTTCCTGCTCTGGGGAGTGGGGGTCCTTGGGAGTGACCCCAGTATTTTTCTTGAAGTGGATGGACTGCTCAGGTGTCAGCAGTGGTCCTGGTGCCCCTGGGGCGGATGTCATTTTGGGGGTGTCATTTGCTTCTCTGGGTCTTGACAAGGCCCAGGGAGGCCGAGCCCCCTGTCAAGGGTGGAGACTTGCCTCACAGCAGTGAGCTGGCCTTGGCGGGAAAGGGGACAGTCTGTCCGTCCCAGGGACACTGCCAGCCCGCATTCAGGTGGGGAGACAGGGCCAAGGCAGGACATGGTGGAGGCCGCATGCTTGTCCCTACAGACGGTGGCTATGGTGAGCAGGAAATCTCACTCCACGTGCTTTATTCTCACACAGCCGCTTTGGGGGAAGGCAGAGATGTGTCTGTTCCCCAGTCCTGGTTTGGCCATCTGGCCCCCACACTGCCAAAGGCTGGGGACCATCGGGACCAGCCCTGACCAGGGACGAGGGAGGAGGGAGGCAGTCTGCGATGCTCCCACCAGGGATGCCAACAAGGCTTGGAGGCCTGAGCACACAGGGCTGGAGAGGGGAGCCTGCAGGCTGCACCAGTGCCATCGGCCAGGGGCCCCATCAGCGCTCTGCACCCACACAGACAGGCACCAGGCCCAGAAGTCCAGCCAGCCAGCGGGGCCGGGCCGGGCCGGGCAGGCCTTGGAGCCAGCAGGGCGGAGGAGGCTGGTTTCCCAGGATGGAATGTGCAGAATGTCGGGTGGGCACCTGGCTACGCCCCACGACGCGTCCTGGTGCCGCCCACCTCCTTGGGCCCTCAGTTTCCTCCTCATAAATTGGGAGCAGCTGTGGGTGTGAGGCTCTTTGGCCCAGGAGCAGCCGGCCTTTCGTCACAGCTGACTGCTTCCAGAACACTGGGAGCCCCTGGGACCCCACAGACTCTCCTGGGGACCACCCGGAACCCCTCAGGACCACGAGGAGCCTCTTAGGGGTCACGGCCGCATCATCTGGGGAAGATGGAGATGCTGAGGTGACAGGTGGACAGGCCTGGTACAAATCCCTCTGGAGCACCCGAGAACAGTGTCCCCAAGCCTTCACCACAGCTGTTGGCAGATAGAGAGCACCTGCTACGAGCCAGGCCCCACTGTGGGTTCTGCGTCCTGCCCTGGGAGCCTCTGTGCTACATGGGGGGCAGAGGTTCAACAACAGGGCACATACGTACCCGAGCAAACAGCAGAGAGGCTGATGCACAGGCGCATCCAGCAGGGTCTCAAAAAGACCAGTGGGAGGTGGGAAGGAGGTGGGTCCGGTGCTGGGGCCAGGGGGCCTGGGTGTGGGGGACAAAATGAGGCGAGATGTGTGCAAGGACCAGGGTCTGCAGGGCGCTCTCTGCCCCGTGCCAGAAATCCACAGGAGGCATGCCCGCTGTGCCCGTTGCATTAACAGGTGGACAAAGAGCGAAGGAATGACCGCTGGCTGAGCCCCTTGCTTGCTGTGTGACCCGGGGCAAGTGTATCTCCCTCTCTGGGCCTGTTTCTCTACAGCGAAGACCTCTCTGAGCAGTAATTCTTCTCAGCAAGTGGCTGGCTCCTTCCGCTTTCCAGGACCGCAGGGGAGGCCACCAGTACCCGCTCTGGGCCTCGTGAGGATGCGTGTTCTGGCAGTGGGGTGGTCAGCAGGCCCTGGAACCCTCGACGGGAGCCTGGGCTCTGAGCACCATGCAGGTGGTGGAAAGGCCCCTGTGCGCTCACCTGTCCCGTTCCTGTCCCTTTGTCCTCCACTCCTCTTCCCGTGGAAACCGCTCAGGCAGAGCCCTCACTCCCACCACGGCCCCTGGGCCTGGCATCAGGCTGGGCAGGTGGGCACTGCAGACCCCATCCCATCCTCCCATCAGGACCCCAGGGCCTCCTTCCCTGCTTGCCTCATTCCCCACAGGAATGGCCTCCTGTGCCTGCAGGGTGGGGGCTGCTGGCGGGATGAGGAGGAAGCAGGCAGAGAGGCTGAGAGCCTCTGCCCTCCGTGGGTGGGCAGGAGCCCAGGCCCTGGGGCCGCACACCCTGCAGAAGTCATCTCTCCAACAGCTGCAAGCCGCAGCCTCTGACTTGCCCATCACAGGCTCTTCCTAGAGACCTCCTGGGTGTCCGGGACCCATCTCCATCTGCACCCTGACCGACCCCACGGCAGCCAGCCAGGCCCGTTCACACTCCCAAGTCCACCCCACGGCCCCCGCCTCTCAGAGCAATGCCAAAGGAGATGCTGGGGAGACCTGGGGCCAGGACCTGCCACCCCCCGCCCACTCTGCTGGCCCCTCGTGGCCCTGCCCTAGGCCTGGGCGCTCTTTCTGCAACACCTGCCCGGGAGGGTGGTCTCCCAGGGCCCTCCCCTCCTCTGACCGCTCCTCCCACACCCAGGCACCACTCCCCACACTGCAGGACATGCGGCTCCACACGGAGGGAATTCCTTCCCTCACAGCCTCAAGGCCCGGTCCAAAACGGGCGGCGGGGGCATGCATCCCGGTCCTGTTGCAGCCACAGTCTGTGGGGCCCATGCTGGCCCCCGGGCTCTCCCATGGACTGCGGCGGACTCTGCGGGGGGCAGCATGCCTGCTTCAGGGCTGCCCTGCGAGGGCAGGGCCCACCTGAGGTCACCAAGGGAAACTGCGTGTGGAGACCCCAGGCTGCTGGGCAGGACAGGGCCCAGAGAACTCACTGGGGGGCCGGCCAGGAGGACCCCAGGTGGGCACCTGCTATGGGGGGCCTAGTTTCACCTCCAACCCCAGTGGAGCGTCGCCATACCCAGCGGGTCTGTCCCGGCTGCTCCCTCGGTCTGGAGTTCTGGGACCCGCGGGACCTCCTATGACTCATTTCCTCAGCTGTCAAGTGGGAACGTCCTGGACAGGGTGCCCCTGAGAACAGCCCAGTAGGCCTGTGGACATAGGAGGTGCTCAGTGAACACAGAAAGCAAAGGTCGGAGGAGAAGGGACTGGACCAGGGAGAGGGGCCAGCTGGACCTGGGTGCTTCACTGTCTCCCCCACCCACAGCATTGGAACCTGCCCCCGCAGACCTAGCTGTGCCCTCACCCTCTCCCCGGCCTGACCATTGGCCGGCCCACCTTGGGGCCCCTGCCCTGAGGCTGTGCCCAGCTGCTGGCTCCCAGCCTTTATTTTCGCAGACCAGCACCGCCCACTGCAGGCCAGGGGACACAGACACAGATCTCGGCCCCCACGTGATGCAGGGGCAGGCCTCTGCTGGCCTCCACGGAGTTTCTCAGGGAAGTCCTGCAGGGATGCCCCTGGCGACCACTGGCCCCTCCAAACAGGGAGGCGGGCTGTGGGGCCAGGAGCCAGCAGAGGAGGGAGGTGGAGTCCGGGGCCAGTCACAGTTCGGCTCACGCGGTACAGACGGCATGGGGCGGGCGGCGGGGAGGAAAAGCATGGCTGCAGACCTCCACCAGGGGTCCCCAGGCACCCCCAGGACGTTCCTTCTGCCTTCCGGAGCTGGGTGCCCCGCACTGGACAGTCCGCCTGCACCCCGCTCCAGGTCACGCTGCTGGGGCTCTTCGTGGACACATGCTGGGTGCGTGGGCCTGTTTCCTCTGCTTCAGAGAGGTCCCTCCAGGGTCAAGTGTCCTGTGGCCTGTCCGCCCCCAGCAGTCTGGGAGCCCTGCATGCCAGCACATAGCGCTGCTGGGGTGGCCACAGAGCTGGGACAACTGGCTGAGGCTCAGCTCATGGGGCCGCCAGGCCTGGGTCCCTGCGGGCAGCCGCGCTCAGGGCGTCCAGCCACTGCTGCCGCAGGTCCGCTGACAGGGTGCTCAGGTACAAGCACCGCTGGGCCTGCTGTAGCCGCCACACATGCCTGGTGTCCGGCCCCTCCACGGGGTCCAACATGCTCACCGTGCAGCCAGAGAGGGGGATGGTGCGTGGCGGCCAGCTGTCCTGCAGCAAGGGAGAGCTGGGTCAACACCCTGGCCTCTGCAGTCCTGGCCCACGGAACACTCTTTCCCATGGGTAGGCAGCAGAGGGGTGACTCTGAGCAGCCGGGGAAACCGAGGCCCCAGGATCACAGGAGCCTGAGCAGGGTTGGCCCCAGGCAGCGTGGCCCAGGCCCCTCTGGGCACCATGGGCCTCAGGTTCCGGGCTGTGAGAATCGGGGCACACCCCCCAGCACGACCCTGGGGGCAGGTGGGGGACGCACCTGGCTGTCTCCCTGCAGGTGTAGCACCAGCTCCAGGGGGTCTGACGCTGGGATGGTGGCCCACACCTCGCTCCAGGCCACACCGTTATCCGACACGTGCAGGGAGCTGCAGAGCAGGCTGGGCTGGTGCTCCACAGCCACTGGCTTCTGGAGACAAAAAAGGAGGGTCAGGGGCAGCCTTGCTGCAGGTGTCACCCTCATGGGCGGGGGGGCAGGCCTTGCCTCCTGGGAACATGCTGGACAAGAGCCTGGGCCAGCCTGACCCACCCCAGGGTCACCACAAGGCCTCTGGGTATCAGGCTGGACCCTCTAGTGGACTGAGACTATGAGTGGCGCGGGGCCAGAAATAAGAAAAAAATAGGGAAAAATGGAAGAGCTGGAACCAGGGTGTGGCTTACAGGGAAGGGCTGTGTTTCAGTTGAACACACACACTAGGCACCTACCACGTGAGCACACACACAGCAAACACGCGCACCAGGCACATAACACATGCGTGCACACATGGCAAACAAACATGTGCACCACACACACCACCCTCACCATGCACCTACCACGTGTGCACACACACTGTGAACACACGCACCACACACCTAGCACGTGCACGCACACACACCACGCACCTACCACGTGTGCACACACTGTGAACACGCGCACCACACACCTAGCACGTGCACGCACACACACCACGCACCTACCACGTGTGCACACACTGTGAACACGCGCACCACACACCCACACTGTGAACACGCGCACCACACACCTAGCACGTGCACGCACACACACCACGCACCTACCACGTGTGCACACTGTGAACACGCGCACCACACACCTAGCACGTGCACGCACACACACCATGCACCTACCACGTGTGCACTCTGTGAACACGCGCACCACACACCTAGCACGTGCACGCACACACACCACGCACCTACCTCGTGTGCACACACATGGCAAACACGCGCACCAGGCACATAACACATGTGTGCACACATGGCAAACAAACGTGCACCACACACACCACCCTCACCATGCACCTACCACGTGTGCACACACACTCTGAACACGCGCACCACACACCTAGCACGTGCACGCACACACACCACGCACCCACCATGTGTGCATACACTGTGAACACGCGCACCACACACCTAGCACATGCACGCACACACACCACGCACCTACCACGTGTGCACACACTGTGAACACGCGCACCACACACCTAGCACGTGCACGCACACACACCGCGCACCTACCACGTGTGCACACACACCGTGAACGCACACCACACACCTAGCACGTGCATGCACACACACCACGCACCTACCACGTGTGCACACACACCGTAAACACGCGCACCACACACCTAGCACGTGCAGCACACACACCACGCACCTACCACGTGTGCACACACATAGCACACACGCGCACCACGCACCTACCACGTGTGCACACACACCGTAAACACGCGCACCACACACCTAGCACGTGCATGCACACACACCACGCACCTACCACGTGTGAACACATGTACCACACACCTAGCACGTGCACGCACACACACCATGCACCTACTGTGTGGGTACACACACCGTGAACACACGCACCACACACCTAGCATGAGCATGCACACATACAATCTGACCTGGCACAAGGGAAGCCAGCTCTGGGAGCACAGTCTGCAGAGGCTGCCAGGGACAGGGCCCCTGTCAGGAGGTTCACAGCATCTGGCCTGCCTACCTCCGTGCTGTGCTTGGGCTCCTCGGGTGCCGCCTCGGGGCTGGGGCTCTCGGGTACTGCCTGCTGCGTCAGGAAACACTCTCGGCAGACGCGGCTCTGCCTGCCATTTTCAGACTTGAACTCAGAGCACTTCCCACAAATGACCTGCAAAGCAGAGAGCACCTGTGACCCCACCTCCTGGGGACAGAAGACCGTCTGGAAGAGGCTGAAAGGGCCGCAGGGCCAGGAGGGACATAGCATATGGAGGGGAAGGACTTCTCTGCAGGAGCCTCGTCAGAGGACAGGGACCCCAGTGCTGGCCATCCAGGACTTGCCTCCTCTTCTGGAGGGTCCTGGGGTTTGTGTGCACGGAAAGAAGACTGGGAAGACGCTCCAGGCACATGGAATGATGCTCAACATCACTAATCATCAGGGAAATGCAAACCAAAGCCACAATGAGATATCAGATACCCCCTCACACCTGGCAGACGGCTAGTACCCAAAACACAGACAATAAGCGTTGGTGAGGACGTGGAGGAACCAACTCCTTGTGCATTGTTTGTGTGATTGCAAGATGGCAGAGCTGCTGTGGAAAACATATATCCATTCCCCACAAAACACTGAAAATAGAGTTACCCTATGATTTAGCAATTTCCATGATTTCTACTGGATTTCTAGTTCTAGTTCTATGTGTGGATGGACTCCTGAGTGGATGGATGGATGATGACCCACCCACTCACACATCCACCCATCCTCTATTCACCCACCCACTATCCATCCATCCACCCATCCATCCATCCATCCACCCTCCATCCACCATCCATCCATCCATCCACCCTCCATCCACCCACCCTCCATCCATCCATCCACCCTCCATCCATCCATCCACCCACCCATCCATCCATCCACCCTCCATCCATCCACCCTCCATCCATCTACTACTCACACACCCATCCATCACCCAACTATCCATTCACTTGAGGACTCATCCATTTATGTCTCCTTCCCCCAGTGTTTCAAGGTTTCATGCAAGGGCATGACAATGAACACCACACCCAGCACAGTCTGCTGGTGCCTTTTGGAAAACCAGTTCTAAGGCAGTTCTGTGCTAAGAGCCACCTGCTAACATAAATTCCATTTTAATAACCTAACCTAGAAATATTTGAATCAACAAGAGTCCTTTTACCAGGAATAACCTTCCCTTTCAATATCAAGTTCAGAAGCCCATCCTAAAGAGAAAGGGTTTTGGGGGACTCTGTGAGGAGAAATGGAGATGGTGATCACTTGGGGTGCCAGTTGAAGGTGGTCCCACATCCCACAGGCCCACTCAACCTTCAGCACCCTTGGAGCACCTGGATCAAAGTGGCAGGAGGGAGCTCCCCCCATGGCTGCGCCCCGCACCTCCCCAACCCCCACCTCCTCACAGGGCAGGAGGTCACTCTCACCCCCTTCCTCCCAGGCCACCCAGCGCTGAGCTCTGAGGTTCCAAATCTGGCACTTTCTCAACCACGACAGTGTCGATCAGACACCGGAGCTGGCCAGAGAAAGGGAGTTAGCATCACCTTCAGACAGGGTGGCGCCTGTCTGCTCATGATGGGGGGAGGCTGCACGGAGCTGTGCCCGCCCACACTCACCGCCCCACACAGCTTGCACCGATGCTTCCTCTTGGTGATGGAGTTGAAAGTCTCGCCACAGCTCCTGCAGCCCTGCTTCTCCTTGTCGCGCCTGGTCTTAGCGGACCCTCTCCTGGGCTCGAGCTACGGAAGACAAGCATGCAGGGGCAGCTCACTGAGCACATGTGCTGCGCATGCGGGAACAAAGCTGGGGTGTTGTCACCTCAGCCCCTGCCCAGCCCTGCTCCCCAGGCTGCCCTGTGGTCACCGTCACACACACCGAGGGCCTAAGTGGGTCTGGAGCTCTGCCTGGATCGACCTGGCCTACAGGGAGGCCAGCGACAACCTGGTGGGTCTGAAGAGATGGGGCCCAGAGCCCGCGCTGGGGAATGGTCTGCCCAGCCTGGTGTGGCCTGCTCCATGGCGCTGAGGCTCAGGGGCTGCCCTGGGCCCGACTGAGCACTTGAGGGGCAGGTTGGGGCTGCGCTCCCCTCCACCTCCACCAAGCTGTCTGGTCCTCCCACCCAGGAGCTGACAAGGGGAACAACAGGAAGTCAGGAAACTCAATGTGGTTTGCGTTCAGAGAGCTTAAACAAGCTTTAGGACAAGTCACGAGAACACTGCAAATGCCTTTCAACAAGCTGGGCCAGGTCGGCAGGAACCTCAGACCCCTTGCAGAGAGGGGGCGGGCTGGGAGGGCGAGAGGAGGGCTCACTTTCCTTCATCTTCTTAGTCTTTACAAACAAGTGCTGATTTTCCTCTTTGTCAAACACGCATTAACTCTGATGCGTCCCAAAATAAGGGAGCGGCCGGGGCACGCCAGGCGGAGTCAAGGCCACAAGGGGGACGCGGTTTAAAGCTGGCCCTGGTGCAGCTCAGGGAGGACCCAACAGCAGAGGGCTCAGGCAGAGAACCGAGTTTCTGCCACAAAGGGGATGGAGGAGCAGAGAGACGAGACGGGGAAGCACAACCAGACGCTCCTGCTCGCCGTTTGCGGCCAGGGTAACCTTCTACCAGTTGTTCGACAAGAACATCTTGTAAAAGAGGAAGAAAGGCGGTAAACAAGTAGAAAGCAGACCGGACTCCAGACCCCTCGCCGCCACTCAGCCGCACCGCGGACAGTACTGTGGAAGCTGGCCGGGGAGTGGGGGGACTGCGTGCTGTGCCCCCGGCCCCCTGCCCCAGGGATGCCACTTGTGTCCAGGACCCCAGCCCCACGGAGGCAAGGGCTTTCACATGAGCAGGAGCAGGTGCAGCATGAGGTTTCGGTGGGGGCTCAGCGGGGTCGCCAGCTGAGCCTCAGTTTCCCCATCTGGGGAGGAGTTGTACAACGTGGGGGACAGCCCCCAGGCCCTGCCCTGCCCCTCATCAACCATGAGACCACGGATGATGGTCTCCTCTCTGAGCCTCAGTGTCCCCACCTGTACAGTGGGGTTAGCTCATCACAGCACGTGGATCCTGACTGACTTCGCCAAGCTCCCCTTATGTCCCCACTTCTCTCCACCCGCCTTGGGGCCCCTCTCCTGGAGACCATCTCAGGACTCTCAGGGCCAGACATGGGAGGGGAGCTGCCTGTGGCCCGGGGTGCAGGGCAGGGAAGGAGAGACAAGGGGAACGTGGCCATCCTTGAGGCCTGCCATGGCCCAGCAGCGCCCACCTACCCTCTACCATCCCTCAGGGTGGCCCCACTGTCCCTGTCTTCCAGGTGAGGACCCCAAGGGCCTGGGAGGTGGGCCTGGGCAGCAGCAGGGGGATGAGCCCAAGGGCAGAGCCCAGAATCACTGATGCCAGGCGGCCACGGGGGCGTCCCGGGGCGACAGGGGCAGGACAAGGGCCGGAAGAGAGGACTGGCCCGTGAGGGCTGGAGGCGGCGGCTGTGCTGGGGCTGGGGGTGTGAGGCCAAGTTCACCAACTGCTGGCCAGCAGGACAGAGGGCGTCCAGCAGGGCGCTCAGGATGGAGGCTGAGGGACAGCAACCGAGCGGAGCCCTGCACCAGCTCCCTCGGTGCTGTGGACTGTAGCCCAGCATGTCCACTCTGGATGCTGCTCCAGCCCGGGCCGTGCAGGCTCCCAACATGGGGGTCAGCAGCCCACCCGCACACCCTGGGATGGGTCTTCTTGGCTCAGCATACTCCCTTTCCGGACAGGTTATCAGACGCACAGATGAGAAGGGGTGCTCAGGCTTTGTTTGGATGCTGGGACATCAAAAGGCCCGGGTCAAGTCCCCAGACAGGTACAGAACCGCGGCATCTGCGAGTCTCCACCCAAAGCACCCAACGTGCTGGGGCGCGGGAGGTGGTCTCTGCCAAGGGCAGGGGTCTGATTCACGCAGGTGTTTTCTGTTCCACACAGCACAGAGGTAGGAGAAGCGTTCAGGTAAGAATCAGGCCCCAAGGGTGGCTTGACAACCAGCCTCTGATGGCACCTCCCGGTTGGCCCTGGGTCCTGCAGGCTGTGGACAAAGACCCTGTCCAGCCCTTCTGCTCCTTGTGAGCAGCTCTGTCCAGAGCTCCAGAGGGTGGGCTTGGGGTGGAAGGGCAGCACTAGCTTTGTGCACCCCCAGGTCATGGCCAGCTGGTGGGGTCAGGCTTGGCTCGGCATCTTACAGGGGTGCACACATCCCCCCACAGGTCTGAGCCCCAGGAAGCCTCTCTGTGAAGAGTTACATGACCTCTGCATGCAGAGCACACAAGGCTTGAGCCACCTTGCGAAACTTCCTGGCCTGGGCTGAGCTACTCTTAGGAAAGGAGTGCTTGCGGAACCGTTCGAGGACACCAGGGCTCAGGGAACGAGACCAGCAGCCATGTGGGGGTTTGCCTTCCTCTCTAAGTGTGCTAAGAAAAAGCTTAAATCTATGGCAAGGATAAGTCTTTTGATGTCAGAATGAAAACTCATTTTTGAGCACCTTCCACAAACGCACACTGAGCAGGTCTCAGTCAGGCCCTGTATGGCCAGACCTTTGGCCACACTGAGCAGCCCCAGGTCCAACAACAGCTCTGCTCGCAGCACACACTGGTGAGAAAAGCACGGGGCCGCCGTCTGTTACTGTGTGTGTTGTGGGTTCTGGGTAGGTGCAAAGGCCCTGGGGCAGGGGGGAGCAAGAGGAGGGAGGGCCAGGAGACCAACCCACAAGGGCGGCACAACCTCACTGGGCGAACTCTGGGCCTCGGTGTTGAATTCGGGAGGCTCATTGGCAGCTCTAGGCTGTCCGAGGGGCAGCACCAGCTGGGGGACGGGGGCCTGGGAGGCCGGAGAGCACGGGGGCCTCAGGAGCAAACCCCTGTCTGGGGCTCAGGCTGGGGCTCGGGCAGACAGCCCCAGTGTGGGCCTCCAGCCCTTCCCCACCAGCCTGTCCAGGAGCGTCCCCTGGCAGTTTGCGGGGGCCACACCCCCTGGAGTCTCGGGGCACGACTGTCAGCAGGGCTCACGGCCGGTGGGCCAGTGGTCAATAACCATGCCCTCCTGCACTGGACGCTCCCGATGGGCAGGCACACACACTCAGCCTCCGACCTAACCCCACACAGATGGCAGAAAGGAGGGGCCCCAGCACGTCCACGGCCTGCCCCTGGTGGGGGGACATGGACACTGGCTGCCCAGCCCCCTCCCTGCCTGCACTGCCCCAGGTGGAGAGAAGGCGAGCAGACGTGCATGGGGGTCTCGGGCACCACCGCCCTCCTGGGCCTGCAGCGAGGACCTCCCTCCATCCTCCTGGGCCCGAGGTGGGTCAGACACCGCCTCTGGGAAGCCTTCCCTGAGAGTACCCCTGCCTGTCCTCCCAACCCCCAGGGCCAGGGGGCTGACCCTTCCTCTTTGGATGGCCCAGCTGCCTAAGGATCAGGCACCACCTTGAGTCATTTTAATCACGTGCTTTCCACACGAGGTAAAGGGCACAACTGCATGACCTCCACCCAGCTGACCTAATGGACGCCTGGGTCCCAGGAGGCTGCCCCAGCCCCTCTCAACCTGGCCAGAGGCTATCACTGTGGGGACAGGTCACATGGGGGTGGCTTGCCCCTGGACCTCACCCTGGAGGGCTCCCCAGTCTGACCCCCACCCTGGAGGGCTCTCCGGTCTGACCCCCGCCCCGGAGGGCTCCCTGGTCTGACCTCACCCTCTACTGCCTGCCCTTGCCGAAGCTGGGGGCTCACTCACCCCTGCAGTACCCCCTCCACCGCTGGCTGCCACCACAGGCTCCTCCAAGCTGGTGCCCACCACCTGGAGGGAACAGAGACGGCCGGCAGGAGTGGGGGCCTCTGGCCACGGACAGCATCCCCCAGCCCTTCCGTCTGACCACAGGGTCAGGAGAAAGGAAATCGGGGCCCAGTGTTTGCTGTGACTCTGGGGAGGCGCTCCTCCCTGGCCCAGTGTGGGACGCCCCGGAGGCCTGCAGCCCCCCTTCCCCGCGATATCACGCCACCCTCAGGAGGCGGCCCTGGGTTCTAGCTCCATCCTCAGGCCTTCTGGGGGTGGAGGCCGCCTGGTTCCTTGGGCACCACTTTAGCCACAGGGATGGCTCTGAGTCCACAAGGCCTCTGTTCAAGGCTGCCTGGGAGGAATGCAAACTTTTCTTCTAAAATATATTCAGAAAGCAAGAAAAACAGAACAGATTTGATGCAAACATTAAGTGGCCAATAAGGCCGTGGGGAGGGCCAGCCAGGCCTGGTGCAGGGGACATGGGGTCGCTAGGCTGGGCTAGGCTGGGCATCCTTGGTTTCAAGAGTGCCTGTGGCGGGAGGTGGGAGTGAGGGACCCTTACTCTGAAGGGATGGGCGGTTGTGCCCACAGGAGGGGGCTACAGCCCAGGGGGCCCCCAATGGGCAGCTGCAGCTGACTTCCCTCACCTGGCCCTGGGCAAGGACCCTGCCTCCTGGCTCCCCTCAGCCCCAGGGTGGCTCCGTATGGGGACAAGGGAGCGGCCCCCTGCTAAGATCCCAGCCCTACCTCACATACAGCTTCAGGCAGTGCATTCTTCCTGCCTGCCCCTCGTGAGGCCTGGCCCCCATGTCAGTGCTCAGCAAAGGACAGAGAGCACTGCCCACCTGCCAGCCCCTGGTCCTTGGCACAGGGAGAGATGCCAGCCCTTCTGCAAGGGGCCTGGGGCACATCCCCTCCAGGTCCCTCCCTTGCCCCTAGGTCGCTATGCTCACAGGGGAATCTGGAGCGAGGGAGGGGTCCTCATCCTGGCCGAAGGAGCCACTGAAGGCCTTGAAGGTTTGGCTGTTCTGCTTGTGCCTCTCGATGGTGGCCTCGATGACCTGAGACAGAAACCACAGAGAACAAGGGCCCTCAGCGAGCTTGTCCTGGAGGGCAAAGACCAGCGCGCCTGTCCCCACGGACAGGCCCTGTGGTCACGCACGTCCCTTACCGACCGGACACAGGTCCCAGGCCCACCCCACATGAGGCTGGTGCCCTCCCACAGCGTTCCAGGCTGCCGCAGATGCTTCCCGGACACTCTGTGCGGATTTGCGGACATGGTTCCGTTTCCTGCATTGGCATGTCCCCATCTGTTTGAATTTCTTTTTTCTCTCCTTGCGCAAATTTCTATTCTATGAGTTCTGGAAGCCACAAGGCCTTCCCAGTTAGTGCTATACCAGGCTCCTTGCCTCAGCCTCTGCTCTGACCTTTGCCCTCATGAGCTTTGGTCTCTGTCCCCTGCGTCCCCCACTGCAGCTGGTCCCAAGCCAAGTCTGCTCTGGCTACCCCAGGACAATGACCACCTCCCTGCCTGGCTACCTCTGGAAGCACAGGTCCCACCCTCTAACCAACTGCTCATCCCATGTAACCGCTGCTTCAGCTGGCTGGCGGTGGGGAGAGGGTGACGGTCCCCTTGGGCCCTCCAGGGAGCGCAGATCCAGCCCCGGGGTGAGGGTCCCTCCCTGCTTGCCGGCCTACAGCCCTTCGCGTTGGCTTATTTACTGAGGTGCTGCACAACTGAACAGACTGAAAAGCTGGTTGCATCTGAAGGTACTTAGGGTACTTCATCCCTTTAAGGCGGACGGACAGGTAGGCAACGCCTGGGGAGTCACAGGGCCACTCCATCCCTTGCTCCAGCATGAAATGGCCATACTGCACAAGAATTTGGTCATCTGATTACTTTAAAATTTTAGGAGCTTCACCTGAATCCATTCTTTTTTCTCCTCTTCCGTCCTATGAAAACAAACACAGTATCTTATTAACCCGGTCTTAAACACTATTAACCACCACACTCCTCTTAATCCTGGGGCACATGCCCGAGCTGCTCACAGCCTCCAAGTGCAGCTCAAGGCCTGGAAGACCGTCCTTGAGTGCTCTGGTACACTGTAGGCAGGTGTGTCCAGGTGGACTCAGGTGTGGGGTCAAGTGCGTCCACGTAGGGTCAAGTGTGATCAGGTGGGGCAGGTGCGGAGTCAAGTGTGATCAGATGGGGTAGGTGTAGTCAAGTGTGCCCAGGTGGGGTCAGGTGTGGTCTGCAGACCCCTCTGCTGTGGATGTAAATCAATACCTCCCTGGACCACAGCAGGTCTTACAAAGATCCCATATCACTGGTGGAAATGAGAGACAGGGTCTCCCACACACTCCCCCCAGTGAGAGCACAAGCCTGTCACACACCGCAGGGGGTGTGACAATGGCCCCCAAAACCTAAAGCAGATGTGCTACCCTCTGAGCAACAGCTCTACCTCAGGAATCTTTCTGACGGACAGAAGGACTAATATGCACAAAATGGGTGTGAGGATTATGCTTGCGGCACCTTTTCCCACAGCAACCCGGAAGGAGCCTGGGTGCCTGTGAGCAGGAACTGGTCGGTGATTGTGATGGAGAATTACGCTGCTTCTGGAAACGGGGCTTGGCTATGGGATGATTTCTGGCACATTAAATGAAGAAAGCAAGAAGCAGAACAGGCTATACGGTAAACAGCCGTGTGTGATTTTAAAACTCGGGACACGTTCGTACACGCAGAAATGTGGGAAAGACACCTCAGAGGTGATTAAGAACGTCTGCTGGTGGGGGGAAGAGGAAGGCAGAGGCTCAATTTTCATCAACTTCGCTTTAGAATGGTTACATTTTAAACCACAAATAAGAGAATAAGATGAACCAAAAACAACACAACACAAAATTATCGTGTTTAGAAAAGGAAGCCATCAGCTAAAACGTCAGCTCATAGCAGCAGACGCGGGGACGGCCGCCCATACCGAGTCTGCAGCTCCAGGGACCGTCTCCTTCCCGTTATGATGAACGTGTGGGCTGCATTTGGCTTGACGATATCCTGCACCTAGAGGCCCAAGGGCCAAGGACAAAACAAAACAACCAGTTGTTTAGCGGGCCCTGAGCGGCAGCCCCGTGCTCTCAGACACGGAGGTCTTTCTTGAGGAGGAGGCAGCCAAACCCTCCCACCTGCAGGGCTTCCCAGCAAGGCGGCCACCAGCCCTGGACAAACGGAAGCTTTCTCACCGTGGCACCTGAAGGCCCCTGAGAGAGGAATGGGAATCTTTAAAGGGCCACGAGGCTCTGTACCACGCTGCAGGGGTCTCTGATCCACCAGCCCCTGTGATGGGAAGCCTCCCCTGATCCCTGACTCCCCACCCCCAAGACACTTGGCTGGATGGATGTGGCCCTCAGGTCCCCCACTGTCAGCACCACAGCCCGGCTGTAGGGAGATGGGGGCCCAGCCAGAATCTGGGATGGGGCCTCACAGCAGGAATTTCCCAAATGCCCCAGAGTTGAGAGCTTCTGTGTTAGCACGTCTAGTTACCTATCCACCACTAATTTCTTACCTAAAAACACCTACAAGAATGATTTTTTCTAACAATGACAAAAAACATTTTTTTCCATAGTTTTTACTTTTAACGGTGTTTCTTAAGCTGGGGCTCAAAAATTTCAAAGTAAGAAGTATATTTCTGGTATCACTAAGGCAAACCTTCCCATTTTAAAGCTGAGTACTTGATGTAGTCAGTACTTGTGAAGCGGTGGTTAATTCAGAGCCCTCCCCACAGGAGAGGGGGTAGATTCCAGCTCTGTGGACCCTGTGCAGGAGACACCGAGAGGCTCCGGAAGCGAGCGACGGCAAGGACAACATGTCATCTGGACCCTGGGCCTGCAGAACCTCCTCTGGACTCCAAGACGGGCCCAGGAGAGGAGAGCGCACAGCCAGGGGACCAGGAACTGGGCAGGGAGGGCACCCTGTCCGCTTTCACCCCAGGCTTCGCCTTTGGGTTTGTAAATGGGGCTCTAAGCACCAACCTCACAAGGACAGAGGTTGGCCCGGACTCCAGTGCTGTCCTTTGTCCTGCAAGCACAGAGCAGCAGCGCCCAGGCAGGTAGGCCAAGCAGAGAAGGATCCTGCTCACACCACGCACAATGCCAGGCTGAGTGGCGCTCAGAAATGCTCAGGCCACATGTGCACCACAGACAGAACCGAAGCTCGAAAAGTGGGTGGCAGGCCAGGTGCACAGTGGTGACCACCCTCCAGCAGCCAGAGCTCAGTGTCCCCACCCTGTCCAGCGCCCTGCCAGGGGAGCAGGTGACAGGGAAGGGCTCACCCACCTGGAGGCCCGAAATGTCCATTTTCTCCCGGACACTAAACTTCTGGCCCATGAGCCGCAGTTTGGGCACACAGTAAAGAATCATGCTGTTGAACTGAAATCGGGAGAGGTACAGGGTGAGGGGTGCCAGGAGGCCCGACAGAGAGGAGGCAGGGCACGGCTCTGCAGCTAGGCTGGGCAGGGCGTGGCTCCGCGGGGAAGGGCGTGGTGGGGAAGGGCGTGGCTCTGTAGCGAAGGGCGTGGCGTTGCGGGGGCGTGGCTCAGTGAAGGGCGTCGCAGATAGGGCTGGGCGCGGCTCTATAGTGAAGGGCGTGGCGGGGAGGGCGGGGGCGTGGCTCTGTGCTGAAGGGCGTGGCGGGGGCGTCTCTCTGTAGTGAAGGGCGTGGCGGGGAGGGCGGGGGCGCGGAGCCGGGGGCGGGGCCTGACCAGGAAGAGGTGGCGGTCCTGCGCAGTGCCGTTCTTGGCCGACAGCTTCTGGATGGGGCCCTCCTTGATCAGCTCGTTGGCGGGGTTGACGATGTCCTCCTCCCCACCCAGTCGCTCGTACACCTCCAGGAGCTTGTGCATTTTCTCCTGTGAGACAGACAAGCCTTAGGCCCGCGGCGGCCGCGGGGGTACCCGGGGGTGAGGGGAACCCCGCCCTGCAAGCGTGGCCCGGCATCAGAGAACCAGGACGGGGCGACGAGCAGGTGTGCTGCAGGTGGGAAGGAGCCCACCCTGAGGGGAGGCCTCAGGCCTTGTCCACATCCCTCAGAGATGGAAACCCATGGGGGTTCCCCCAAACGTCCACAGGCTCCACGGGAGCTCATGACCACAGAGTTTCAAGAAGCAGTTCTATGGCCTCCATCAGATTTAGTCGTGCAGAGGTGGAAAGGGAAATTTGACAGGACCCAGAGTGAACCATGACCTGTCTGGGTTGCAGTGGACACCCCACCGTGGGCCAGATCTCAGGCTGGTCTGTCCCAGGGGCCCCAGAGCAAACCTGGGGACAGGCAGCTAAGGAAGACACGGGACTGGACCACACGTGGCAGCAGTCGTGCTAAAGTGAGCGGCTGCTTCTCGTTTCTTATGTTTGAGAGACGTGGGGTCAAATATTTCACTTTTCTTCCTCTCAAAAAACAACAGTGCCCGTGTGAAAATAAACAGGTCTCAAGATTGGGAGAGACTGGGGCTGGGTGGGGACTGTGGCGGCCTAGAGAAGGGCTGAGGGCACAGGCTGCAGGGCGGGGCTTACAGGGTTTCCCAGTAAAGCCAGGAGTTTGGATTCTCCTGTGAACCGCCCTGATCTGTAATTCTGGGCGAGGACTTAGAAATTCTGCCAAGGCACTGTACAGGCCACACAAGGGACAGAGCCACCTGGGTCACCACAGGGCACGGGCTCCCGGAGAGCTCCCCCATCCCCAGACCCCAGGCTTCGGAGGTGTTACATCAACAGGGGATGCCATCCCCTCCACCTCTGCGCTGTGTCTGGAGGTGGGGCCCTCGGGAGGGGAAGTTTAGACGAGGTCACGGTCTTGGGGGTGGGGACCCCACAGTGGGGTCGCAGCACTGATGGGACACCAGCAAGCACGCTCTGCCTGCCACGTGCAAACACAGGAGGAGACCCCACCCACATGCCAGGGACGGAAGTTGCTGGTACCCAGCTGTGAGATACACACTGTGGCATGAGCCCGTCTGTGGGATCTCGTTCCAGCAGCTGGAGCTGGCTGAGACGGAGCCTTAGAGCTAGTAACGGGCAGGCCTGTCTGGCTCGCAGCAGAGCCCCTGTCCACGGCTGGGGTGCCTGTGGTGGGGCCCTCGGGCATCCTCCAGGAGCCCCACACTCACCATTTTCCGAATGGCGGCATTGGAGTGGTTGGCAGCGGTGGAGATGAGCTCCAAGGACCCTGTAGAAAGAAGACGCGGAATCAGGCTGTGGGGTGCCTGCTGGCCTCGCCAGGGGCTGCCCTGCTCCCACCCTTCCCTGTGGGTGTCCAGGGCTGCTCACGAGGCCTGACCCAGGCAGAGGTGGGGCCCCGCAGACACAGTCCATTTGGTGAGGGGGTCTGCTGGGGCTGGCACCCTACTCCCCATGCTGCCCCCCCAGCCCCACGAGGCCCTTCCTGGGGCCTGAGCTCTGCCAGCATCCAGCAGCCCCCTCCCCAGAACCAGGGTCCTCCCCTCACACGGCAGTGGGGGTGAGGCAGTTTTCCCCTCGCAGTTACTTCCTGAGATGTGCCTGGGGGGCACTTGGCGATCTGCCCCACTCTGTCCCTGTCCCTCTCTCTCCTCTCTCTGTGGGTTTCCAGCAGGGGCCCCAGCTCCCACTGCCCAGCAGCCCCGTGGCCTGGCGGCAGCTAGACTCACTTTCTGCATCCTTCCGGTCGGGGGCGTCTCCTGGGAGCCTCTTCAGATAGTCCTTGAGCAGCAACTCGTAGCGTGGGACCCTCTGCACGGGCTCTAGCATGTGGTGCTGCAGCGTCAGGTTCCCACACACCTCCTGCTTCTGTGGGGAGACAGGCAGCCCGTGGCACCTGCAGACAAACGTGTGGGCGCCCCACCCCGTTTCTGGCCTCCACGGCACCTGCACCCTGCTGACTACAGACCACATTACGGCAGGGTAAACCAAGGCTTGGAGAGACTGAACAACGGAGCAAGGACCCAGACACCCTGTGCTGGCTTTTATACAGGTCCTCGCAGAAGAAAACTAGTCCTTGCGCAATGACTTCCCTCATGGGTAACCCCCCCACCGCACGTTCACTCACTCGCTCACTTGCTCGGGTGCTAGAGCCTGGGCCTCTTCCCTCCCTGGACATCAGGAGCTCTCCCAACAGGGGGACTGGTGGCCTAGAAGCCGCTCTGAGGGGCTGCATGCTCTGATGTAAGTGTGACCCTGAGTGCACGCAGGGGTGGGCGCTCAGCACTGCTCACAGGCTCCCCAGGCCCTCGGCCACTGCACCAGCTCCGTGCTGTCCTGCTGGGGACCCTGCCCTTGCTGCCTGCCTCCTCTTCCTGCAGGTGCCCCGGCACGTGCTCCTTGGTAGAGACCCTCCTGCCTTCCCCCGCGTCTGCTGGGGGCGGGGTACGCTGTCCCCTGCTTCTCCCCGCCTGCCACCCATGCCACTCAGGGCCCACAACGGAACAGCCTCCAGCTCGAAGGACACGACAGGGCCAGAGAAGGCCAGTCTGCAGCTATCACGGAAACAATCCTTCCCAGGGAGAATTATCAGGGGTGACCAGGAACGGGATATTCATGGAATTCCAAAGTATCTCCCTGCAAGAAACTTCCTAGGACTGTGGGGCACACCATGGGGTGGGCACATGCTTCCTGGGAGAGGAAACCATGATGCACCTCATGCTCTAGCGGGAGTGCACAACCCCCACACCTGCACCTGCCTACACCTCCAGCCTCTGGGTGCTCGGGCCAGTGGTGGATGCAGGCAGTGTGAGCTCCCGGTTCCTGCTGGTCACTCAGGGCTGTGGGTCGGCCACAGGCACAGCCAGGGAAGCTGGAGGGGGCGATCCGTGTGCACAGCTGAGGCAGGCCCAGACCAGGGGTGAGGGTGCTGGGGGGAGGAAGGACTTGGCATCGGAACTGTCCTCTCTGGGCAGGGATGGGTTGCTGAGGGATGCAGGAGGCATCTAGGACTCCACATTAGGAAATCAGGGGTGACCCGATGGCCACAGGATCTGGGAGAAATGCAGAAGGCTATCGAGGAATGCATGTATGTGTGAATGCACACGTGCACACACGTGTATGTATGGTGTGTGCACAGACGCACCATGTGATGTTCAAGCACAGCGCTTAGGGTATACGGGATGTTGCAACAAGAGGCTAACTATTCACAAAAAGAAAGCTGGACTCTTACCTCACACCACAATCCACCTGGAAACTATTCTGGAATAGCAAGTCTAATTTTTTTTAAATGAAACCATATCAGTAGAAGAAAACATTATCTAATCGTGGGATAGAAAATGCATTTATAAGCATTACTTTGAAGATTTTTAAAAGCGTTATTTTATTAAAAAACTGGTGAACGTGGGCGCCTGGATGGCTCACTCAGTTAAGAGTCTGCCTTTGGCTCAGATCATCCCTGGGATGGAGTCCCATGTCGGGCTCCCTGCTCAGAGGGAAGCCTGCTTCTCCCTCTCCCTCTGCCTCTGCCCCTCCCCCTGCTTGTGCTCTCTGACAAATCTTTTAAAAAAATCTTAAAAAAAAAAAAAAGAAAAAGACCTCACTTTAAAAAAAAACAGAACTGGTGAATGTGGCTATTTAAAAACCAAAAATTTGGGGCGCCTGGGTGGCTCAGTTGGTTAAGCGACTGCCTTCGGCTCAGGTCATGATCCTGGAGTCCCGGGGTCGAGTCCCGCATCGCGGGCTCCCTGCTCAGCAGGGAGTCTGCTTCTCCCTCTGACCCTCTTCCCTCTCGTGCTCTTTATCTCTCATTCTCTCTCTCTCAAATAAATAAATAAAATCTTTAAAAATAAATAAATAAAAACCAAAAATTTTGTTTGGGAAACATCATAAATAAAATTTAAAAAAGATCAACAGGGAAAATAACTTGTAAGATACAGGACAGATAACAAAAGATGTTCTTAACGTATAAAAACCTGGCAAATTGATAAGGAAAAGCAACACTGAAGAGACGATAAAGGGCTGTTTGCAGGAAGAGAGAAAGAAGGGGGACGCGCAGGTCCCCACAGGCCTGGTGGCCAGGGAGGCACCTCGGAGGGAGGCGGGAGTCGCAGTCCGCCTAACAGTGAGGACACAGGTCACACACCCTCCCGTGAAATGACAACAAGGATTTGTGTCCCGAGTGACTCAGCAGAGCTGGACATGTGCCATGGCTTCACCGAATTTCCCCACGCTCGAGCAGGACCGCAGCGCGTGCCATGCAGCCGGCTGGGCGACCTACCTGGATGCCGTGGACGATGTCCTTGAACACCGGTGAGCGCTGGGTCCAGGTGCTCACCAGCTCCACGGCCCGGTCAAAGTTCTTGACGTACTCGCCGTACATCTTGAGGAACGGGGCCAGCTTCTGCAGGATGTCCCCGAGCCGGGGGTTCGTGTCCCTTTGTGGGGGAGAGAGGTCCTCAGAGAAACAGCTTGGGCCAGGGTGGGATGGGGACGTCCCCCAGAATCCATGGGGCAGCGGCCCAACTCCCAGCGCTGTGTGATGGCGGGCAAACCGGTCACCCTCTCTGAGCCTTACTTTCCTCCCCTGTATCGTCGGGGGGGGGGCGGGAACCGCGTGTTACACGGAGGTAAACGAGAGGATCACATGGGCCCTCGTGCAGGCACAGGACCGCTGCTCCAGGCCAGGGGTGCCAGTGGTGATGCGACCACTCAAATGACAGGCCGCGCATCAGAGAGAATCCGTGAGGCCCCATGTTACCCCTCAGAGGAGCCAATTTCAGGAACAACGGGACAAGCGATGCTGGCAACGTCCCGGGAAAGCAGCAGGTTAGTAGTAAAATCAGTGCGGACAGGAATTTGAGAAAAAATTTCAAGAAGCATAAAATATACCAATAGTTTTTTGACCTTGGAACCACAGTTCTAAGGGGAAGTGACCCTAAAGACATCATCAGAAAGCAAGCGGGCATGTGCACAAAGCCACGGCGGCGGCATCATGAGAACGTGCTCTGGCGGACGTCCCCGGAAGGCAGGCTGCTGGCGAGGGCAAGTGCGCGAGCCTTCTTCCTGGGCTCCCTCCCTCCATGCACAGACTTGTGCATGAGGAGTTTCTCTAGGGCCTTGACAAGAAAACCCATTTGTAGCAAGTGTGGACAGAAGGTCAGTCGGGCCCTGGGCTGTAATCAGTGGCCTTGGGGACATAGTATAACCTGCTCTGCAGGGGGAGTCTGCTCCTCATGAAGACCCACCAAGCGACAGGGACCCTCGCTGGGCCAGGCAAGAGAAGGGACGCCCGCTAGTCGAGGCTCCTAGCCTCTGTGCCCTCACTTGTGTGGCTGCAGCTGGAGAATGGGCTCTTGGGGACCCAAGGGGCTGAGCTCCTGACGCTCCCAGTGCCCCGGAGACCCACGCTCCGGCTCAAAGTCAGGCCGGAGAAGAGAGGGAAAAAGCACTGGGGATGGGGGGGGAAGCACGTATCATGAACAACGGCGGGTGCAGGGCCATGCCTGTGATGTCTTATTATCCTGACGCACAGTAGAGCGGGTCCTCCCCTAAGAATGAGCAGACGCGGCCGAGGGACAGAAGGACAGCCCCTGGGGGCAGCCGGAGGATCCAAGGTGCCCTGGGAAGGGGAAAATCTTGTTTTTAAAGCAAATGTGGAGTATACCCAGGGCGGGGGGTGGAATACAGCGGCTACCTCTGTTTACTTGCTGTTTGGTGTTCGGATCCCACAGAGTCTGAGCGGGTATTAAAGTCGCCCTGATGTGCAAACGAAGAAGCTAAGGCGTGGGGACACGGCGGGTCAGGGTTGGCCAGGGCCCTGCAGGCAAGGAGCCAGGGCCTGTCTCTCAGGCACACAGACTCCGACAGAGAGACTGCTGGCCACGAGAATCCCACACAGCTGCGGAACGGAGTCGCTGGGAACCGGGAGCTGCACTCACCACTCCTGCGTGATCCGTGTCTGCAGCTCGGGGAGAAGGAAGTGCCCATGGAAGCGATAGATGGAGGAGATGTTGGAGAAGATGCCTGTGGTGACCTCCGAAGGGATGCCTGCTTCCGTCAGCTGGGTGCAGAAAACCTGGGGGTACAGAGGCCCAGGAGCGGGCGCTGAGGGAGGGGCTGCTACAGCTGCCTTCGCGTGGGGGGCTCAGGAGGGGCTGCCACAGACTCCTGTTTTCTTCCTTCTTTTTTTTTTTTTTAAAGATTTTATCTACTTATTTGGCAGAGAGAGACACAGCGAGAGAGGGAACACAAGCAGGGGGAGTGGGAGAGGGAGAAGCAGGCTCTCCGCCGAGCAGGGAGCCCGATGCGGGCCTCGATTCCAGAGCCCTGGGATCACGACCTGAGCCGAAGGCAGACGCTAAACGACTGAGCCACCCAGGTGCCCCTGGCCTCCTGTTTTCTTAACGAACCTCAGCTTCATCAAATGGGCTCAAACCTATGGTTTTAAAGCAAGCTCCCTCGCAGCTAGGGACTGCTGGTGAGGCAGACACAGTCCTCTGCTGACGGGGACAGACCGTCCGGCCTCCGCCCACCTCTCAGGGGAACTGGAGGGTCCCGATTCCCCTTCTCCGCTCTGTGAGCTACAAACAGAAGCAACACCTGGCAGAACTCTGGGTCCGCCGGAGGTTTACTTCCTGTGCTCCCAAACCCCGGGCTGCTACCGGGACAGCAAGATTTCCAGAGGCCATTTACATGTTCAGATAATGCAAATGCCAAGAAGAACCCCCCCCCGCCCCCCCGCCGCCCAGGTGACAGGACAGGACCTTCACCCCGGAGCCCCAGGCTCAGACAGCAAAAAGGAGTTTCTGGAGGAGACTCACAGTCGCCTGAGTTTTAGTGTGAAGTCACTCATACTCCGGCTGGAAGGCCTAGCCAGCGCTAAGAGACAGGGACTTTGCCTCTGACACTGGCAGCGCACAAAGGCGGGATCCCACCCCGGGGGCTACCTGGTCTAGCAGGTGCAGCCGCTGCACGTAGGTCTCCTCGGTGTGCAGGAGCTCCTGGGCGATGTGGAGCAGCTTCTGGGGCTCAGAGCACTGCAGAGAGAAGAAACACGGTGCCCTGGGGAGGCGGGGTCTGACACTGGGGGCCATCAGGGGACCTGGGGGCCGGAGGAGGCCACTAGCACTGGGGCAGGGGGCTCAGTTCTCACAGATGGACTTTTCGGGGAGGTTTCTGGGGAAGGCACAACAGTTTCTGCCAACCCCCCCAAAAAGCTTTGCATCCCAGAGACAACTCTGCCCTCCCGAGACCTTGACCACACAGCAGCCACATCAAAATGTTCTGTGGCCTGCTATCAGCAAGACGGCAGACTAGAAAGCTACAGGCCCCCCCTTTCCCCAGAGACATGGCACCAACAACATACAGACCACAATCCCTCCGTGAGAACTCCAGAGAAGAGCTGAGAAGCTACCGCCCCGAATCACCGTAAAACCAAGAGGGGATTCCAGCAAACGGGAAACCCGGCAACAACCGGCATGCCCTTTTGTGTCCCTCCCCCAGGCACCAGAGCATGGCCCACAGGAGAACGTAGTCCCTCCGCTGGAGGTCCCCGTTCAGGACAGAAATGAGGTGGTGAGCCGCGCATCCAGCACCCCGGCTGGTCTGGGGGCCGCCCGAGGGACTGCCGGCTCCTGTCTGCCGGACTGGGGACGTGACCCACGCCAGAGTTTTGAAAGCCCTGGAAACAGAGGCTAGCTGCGCCTGCGAGAGAAGGCTCTAAGTTTAAGGTGTTTTATGTAATTTCAATAGTAACCACAAGGAAAATATCTACTGAATATACACAAAAGGAAACGAGAAGAGAATCAAAACATACCATTACAAAACTTCAGTGAAAAATAAGGCAGGCTCTAAGAAAGGGACAAAAAAGCCATAAGATATGCAGAAAACAATCATCGAAATGGCAACCATCCCTTGCCTAAAATTAATATAATATCATTTCTTACTTTTAATTTCTCTATGCTTGATAAAAGATAAAATAAAAAAATATATATGTCCTTTTGCTTTAGGTATATCTCTTACAAGAAACACATCATTGGATTTTAATTTTTAACCCAATATGAGAGTACTGTTCTTTTAATAGGGGACTTTACCACATTTTTTGGGTCATTATTGATATATTTAGCCTTAACCTCTTTTATCTTGCCTTAAAAACTTTTTTTAAAGTTTGCTTGTTATTGTTAGGGTGATGTATGGAATTGTCGAGTTACTATAGTGTACACCCAAAACTAAAATAACACTGTATGTTAACTAACTGGAATTAAAATGAAAACTTCAAAAAAAAAAAAAAATGACAACTGTCCCTCCTATCAGTAATTACTTTAAATGTAAACAGATTAAACTCCCTAATCAAAAGACAGGATTGGCTGAATGGATTTAAAAACTAGCATCCAACTACATGCTGTGCAAAAGACACTCACTTTAGATTTAAGGACACACACAAGCTGGAAGTGGAAGGATGGGAAAGATCTAGCATGCAAACAGAGACCAAATGAGAGTAGGAGTGGGTACACTGGTATCAGAAAAACAGACTGTAAGTAAGAAACCGCTACCAGATACAACGAGTTACATCATATGATGATAAAAGGACCAACTCTTGGAGAAGACAGAACAATTACAAATACTTAAGTACCAGGGGCGCCTCACAGGCTCCATCCGGAGAGTGTGGGACTCTTGATCTCGGGGTCATGAGTTCGAGCCCCATGTTGGGTATAGAGAGGACTTAAATTAATAAAAAACTTTTAAAAGTTCAAGCAAGTATTTATGCACCAAACCTTGTAAGTCCTAAATATAGAAAGCAAACTTTGAAGCAGCAGCATGGTACCGGCCAGGACACGCAGACAGAGTGTCAGTAAGGAACAGAGGGTGTGAACAGACACCCAGACACAGACCCCTCCACCCAACAACAGGAGAAGGCACATTCTTCTCAAGTGCACACGGAACAGTCTCCAGGACGGTCTACATATCAGGCCCCCAAACAAGCATTAACAAACTTCAGGTTGAAACCCTATCAAGTATCTTTTCCAATCTCAGTAGAATGAAACTAGAAATAAATAGCACCAGAAAAACTGGGAAACCCACCGATAGGTAGAAATTAAACAACTCTTCAAGAATGGTGGAAGAAGTTACAGAGGAAATTAGAAAAATAGCTTGAAACAAACACCAAACACCAAAACTTACGGGATGTAGCAAAGGCCACTCAGAGGAACGTTCATAGCCGTAAATGTGTGTGTGAAAAAGGAAGAAAGATCTCGAATCAACGAGGTAACTTCACACTTCAAGAGATTAGAAAAAGCACACACTAAACCCAAAGCGTCAGAAGGAAGGAAATAACAGAGATCAGAGATAAATGAAACAGAGAACAGAAAAACAATGGAAAAAATCAACAGAACAGAGTTGTTTTTTGGAAGGATCAACAAAATTCACACACCCTTAACTAAATTAAGAAATAGAGAAGGGGTGCCTGGGTGGCTCAGTCGTTAAGCGTCTGCCTTCGGCTCAGGTCATGATCCCAGGGTCCTGGGATCGAGCCCCACATCGGGCTCCCTGCTCTGTGGGAAGCCTGCTTCTCCCTCTCCTACTCCCCCTGCTTGTGTTCCCTCTCTCACTGTGTCTCTCTCTGTCAAATAAATAAATAAAATCTTTAAAAAAAGAAAAGAAATGGAGAAGTCTCAAATAAGTAATATTAGAAATAAAAGAGGAAACATTACAACCGACATCACAGAAATGAAAAGGATCAAGAAAGACTGATGTGAACAATTATGTTCCAAAAAAATGGACAGCCCAGATCCACGGATAAATTCCTAGAAACACACCAGGACTGAAAACATGAAGAAACAGGAAATGTGAATGACCAACAATGAGTAAATGCATTGAATAAGCAATAAAAAAAACTTCCCAGCAAAGAAAAGCCCAGGACCAGATGGCTTCACTAGAAAATTAATACCAATCTTTCTCAAATGCTTCCAAACCACTGAAGAGGAGCCAACACCTCTAAGTGCGGCCCTGATGCCAGAGTAGGCAGAGACCCTACAAGGACGCTGCAGACGGAAAGCCCTGGCGCAGACTGACACCAGCAAACCTGACTCAACAGTACAGATGAGGACCGGACACCATGACCAACGGAGGTTTATTCAGGGCCTCAACACATGATGAGAAACCCTCATGATGACCCGAATCGATGCAGAAGCAGCATCTGACAAGATTGACGGTCCCTCCGTGACAAAAACAGCAATAGCTGGGACTTCCTCCGCATGACAAAGGCTGACTTCCCGCTACCTGGGTGGGGGACGAAGGCACAGGGCCCCGGGGCTCCCGGTGCACACCTCACCCCGAGGGCCAGGACGGGCCAGTGCCGACGGAGCAGACAGACAGACCCAGAAGTGTCGGCATCTCTGCATTACAGAAACGAAGGCTTGGGCCTTCCCCCAGTGCCTGTGTGGGCAGGAGCGGAGCAGGCCTGGGGTGTGCACTTGCCCCCAACCACCTGGGAGACCGGGGCAGCCAGCTGAGCTTCCCCCCCCGCCGCCCCAGGAGCACACCTCGAGAGGCACGGTGGTGTGGCTCGCAGTAACCACATCACTCAGTTTCTATGTGGTAGGATGGCTGCACATCTTGTGTCCTTGTTGACCCACATGGTGTGCTTTTCACGCAAACCAGCCTCCGCAGAACCACCCCAGCCCCTCCGTGGGCTCTCACAGGCTCCCCTGCCCTGGTCACCCAGGACCAGGTGCCACACATCTGGGACAGCTTCTGGGCAGGCAATCCTAAACCTGCTCACCCTGCTTCACCTGTTCCTTCCCACAGAAACCACAACACAGGCTCTCGTGCACAATTTCCACCCTCTCTGCTTCCTGACCCACTCTGGTCCTTCGCGGGTGGCCCCAGGGCCTGGCCTGCCCCTCCTCCTAGGAACTGTAAGTAACAAACTATCTTTTCATGACAGTTGTCCCCTGATCTATTGGTGTTACCATACCCGAATAATAACAAAACCTAGCTTAAAACACGCCCCGCCCCCCGCAGTTGGCTCACAACAGTGCGGGCACGAGCTGCCCTTGGCCCGCCCTTCACCCGCCAGGCCTGTCTTGTCACCAGTACTGTGTCCACCAGGCCAGCAGATCTGGCAACTCCTGGGCTGCTCGTGGGACCCAGTCGCTTATGCCATTCTCCCCGCACAGGCGGTGTCTCTGAGCCAGGGGCCCCTGGCTTCATTTCCTCATCCCCACACATCCCAGTGCAGAGCCCAGAGCCCAAGATGCTGTCGGGATGCACAGGGGCTCTCGCACAGCAGACCCGCCATGCCATGGGCACAGCTGCTTCCTGGGGCGTCTGCTCGGGGCTCGGCTTCCGAGCCCGGGCTCCGTTCCCACCCCTGCCACACCCCATGGTGACCCTCGGTTCCCCGTTCATAACACAGGAGCTCTGCAAGGTGGGCAGCCAGCCCTGGCAAAGGATGTGGTGGTGGCTCCATGAGCAACCTACCACCATGGCCCAGGGGTGGGGTCCCTGTTCCCCCGTGTGGACGCAGAACCTAGGCTTGGGAGTGAGGTCATCACCTGAGGTGCCGGGGCCCCTGCCCTCCCTGCCGACCTATCGCCGGGCCTCTCTGACCTCACGACCCCTCAGAAAAGCCCCTGCCACCCCAAGACGTGAGGGCGGCCTACCTTGGCCGGGTCTGCAGGGGCCTCCGGGGGGCTGTTCTCGGGGTCAGGCTCCTCACCGCTACCTTCGCCCACGTCGCTATCGGCCGCCTCCTGCAGGGCCTTGCCTTCTGCGGCTGCGTCTAGGTGCGGCCCCGGGACTGCGGGGCCCCGGCCCGCCTCGCTGCCCTCCTCACAGGGGAACTGGTCACTAGCCATGCTGCAGGATGGACTGTCGATCCCACTGTCCCGGTTGGGGAGTTTAGCAGCACCGTTCAGCTCCCCCGGAGGGCCTGTGCCTGCGGGGCCATTCCCTGCAGCAGCTGGGCTGCCAGGGCTCCTGGGGTCAGGGTCCTTGCTGTGGGCTCTAGGCCCAAGTGGCAGTGCTTGCAGCTTCCCTGGGTCTGCCCTCGGGAGCTCCAGGGAGGAACAGCCAGGCCCAGAGTTCGGCTCCCCCAGGGCAGCGACAGGGGCCTGGGCTGTTGATGAGCCCCCTCCTGACTCCATCCTCACAGCTAAGCTGCCTGAGCTCCGTGGGGAGCTGGCCGGGGGGCTGCCTGTGGGGGGAAATGAGCAGGGTCAGCGCCAGCCAGGCTTGGACCACCCCTGCATGCAGCCCAGAGCACAGCCCCCAGGCATGTCCCCCCAGAGAAGGGCGGAGGTGGGAGCGGGCCGTGTGTGAACAGCCCACACGGCTCCAGCTGGGTCCTGTCCAGACAGGCTTTGGGGAATGGCAAATGGAAAGCATTTTATTTTAAAAATAAATTTCTTCTGTTTAAAAAAAAAAAAAGGAAAGAAGGAAGGAAAAGAGACAGAGAGAGAAGGAAACAGGGAGAAAAGGAGGAAGGAAGGAATCCCACAGCATGAAGCCACCTGCCACTCAACATATTTAAACTACACGCACAAAAATAACCATCGTGAGCGTGGTGGGTCAGGTCAGCTGGGTGCTCTGCACCCTGGGATGTGGTTCTGAGGGGCCCCCTCGGCATCACTGTGGCCCGCACCATCCAGAGATCTCGGGCCAGGGAGGCCAAGGCTTTGCCCCAGATTCCCACCCCCCCCACAAAGCTTCCTGGAGCTGCCTGTTGCTTTCCCTGCCCCCCTCTCCTGGACGCCATCACAGAGGAGAGGCGAGTCAGGAATCGTGGGAGGGGTGAGGGGGGATGGAGCCAGGGGAGATCGACATTCCCCAGAATCTTCCTTTGACCCCACTCACCTGATGCCCAGGTCTCCAGGGAGGGCTCTGCTCTTGGCTCCCTGCCGGCCGTGCTCGGGGTCTGGGTTGGCTGCCTCAGGCTGTGAGCATGAGCAGGGCTGGGAGGTTGGCTGAAAATCTCCTTCCTGTCCAGCAGGTTTGAAACAGGGGTCCTGAAACAACAGGATAGGAGCATGAAAGCTGCCTTCTTCACCGCACCTGCAGCGGCCAGGTGTCAGACCAGCTCCAAAGGCAGAGAGTGGAAGGGCAGCGCCGTGGCCCCGCCCAGCGTGGCCAGTCCTGGAGAGGTCATGGGCCGCAGGCAGACGGAGCATGTGGCTTCCTGCCTGAGTGCAGGGGCAGCTCTGAGCGCCCAGCCCGAAACTCCAGGCCAGAACTGACCATCCCCGCCCATGGTGCCCATGCCAGGGAGGTAGGGACCCACCCATTGTGTAGAGGGCCAGGCGGCACCTCCCAGCCACACACAAGCGCCCTCCTGACACCTGCACACACAGGCACCCAGGGCTCACACCCACGATCAGCCTAGCGGCCCACAGCTCCAGCACACGCTCCCCTCCAGGCTGAAGAACCATCCCTGGACACACAGCTCTCTCTCACTCTCACACAGAGCCATAAACGTGTCCAGAGCCTGCCCCTCGGTGCCTCGCAGGCAGGAAGACCTCCAGGCAGAGTGCAGGAAGCGCTGCTGCCACGCTGGGACTGCTGGGCCGAAGAGGCCTCGGTGCCGCCTGTGACACCTGGACACCGCCGCACAGCCGGCTTCCCATGTGGCCAAACTGCCCCGGGGAGGACCTCTAAGTGACGGCAAAGCCGGAGCAGGGTGCACACGCATCGTGGCCCCTGCCATGTTCTTGACGGGCTTAACGGGGAGAAATAAGAAGGGTTCCAAACAGAAAGGACGTGCTTTTCTGCATTCCTTTCATAGCGCAAGAGATAAACCCAGGTTCCCTGCCCAGCACGCAGACATGACACAGCCCTGCAAACGCGCCGGTGGAATGCAGGCCACGCGCTCAGCCTCTGTGTGTCCAGTGTGGCCTCCGGAGCCAGGTGGAACCTCTGCAACCCCGCCTCAGGGTGCCCGCTTCTGGTTGCCCTCTGCCAGGCAGTGAAGCACAATGCCCCCAACAGGTGAAAACCGGTGCAGTGCGCCCTCAGTCGCCGCGATTCCTGCAGGGACAGGGCCCTGCATGGACCCGAGGGACAGTGCAGGAGACCAGGCAGGAGGAGGTCATGGGGCAGAGCACTGGAAGGAGAGCCCCGTCAGGGGGCAGAGGCTCCCCACAGGGAGCTCTGCTCAGGTCCCAGGACGCCCACCTGTTTACTAGCAGCATCACTGCTTCCCCGAACAGTGCTCTGAGCCATGACGAGAGCTCGAGCCAGGGCAGCTGTGCACGCGTCCACAGACGCGGACACACACCTCCAGCTTCCAGAGGTGAAAGCCCCCAAGTGTGAGCTTGAGGCCTGCAGGAGAGGGACTTGTAGACGCTGTAGAAGATGAGCGGGTCTGGGGGGAGGGGGGGACAGCAACAGAAAGCATCCACACTGAAGCGCACGCAGAGAGCGACGTGAGCAAACGTCCCGCAGCACAACATACATGTAGCTGGAGTCCCAGAAGGGCAGCGGGCAGGAGGTGTCTGCAGAATAACGACCACCGTGGTGAATCCTAACAAACACCAAGGAAGATGATACACAAACCTCTCCAGGACACTGAGCGATGGCTCTGGAGAGACCTGTGCACAGTGGAAGCCGACGGGCAGAAGACAAGGGACACACCTGCCTTTCCGTCTACACAGAGTTCCAGGAGACACACATGAACCTGTGGTCCGGGACGATGCACGGGCTCGCCGTCGTGACTGGGGAGACCGTCTCACGGGTACGCACGCATGTTGAAACACTAAGTTTGCGCCATGCACACGCGCGGTCCACCGTGTCAGTATACCTCACAGAAGATGATGCCTCCGACTTGAGCCAACTTGGCAAGTCGATGCTCCCCAAGTGCCATCTTTTTTTAAGTTTTTATTTGTTTATTTGAGAGAGAGAGCGGCGAGAGAGCAATTGCACAAGCAGGGGGAGCAGCAGAGGGAGAGGGAGAAGCAGGCTCCCTGCTGAGCTGGGAGCCGGACACGGGACTCGATCCCAGGCCCTGAGATCGTGAGTGGAAGGCACACACTTCACTAAAGTGAAGCCACCCAGGCCCCCCCAAGTGCCACTTTTACAGAAGGGACAGGGGTCGGGCCGAGCACAGGTGGCAGGCCCGCAGCCTGGGGAGGCTCCAGCAGCCCTGGTGCCCACCTGGTCATTCCTATCCGGAGGAGTGGGGTGCACCCTTCCCCTGGAGACCTGTGAGCCATGACCACCTCATCTTCCAAGGGCAGCAGAACCAGCTCAGCCAGACGGGAAAGCCCAAAGCTCAACACAAAGATGTCCCACAGGGAGCCGAGTATGGGGTACAACAGTGGAGACCACCACCCCCAGTCTGATTCAGGAAGCCGCGGGATGCAGCCCACGGCCTTGCTCACTGTGGGACTGGTCTCCCCGCTGCCTTTCCATGTCCAAGGTCAGCACCAGAGAAAGCCAGCCCAGGTCCCACCTGCCCTCCACACTGCACAGGGGAGCAGGGGCTCTGGGGAGGGAACACACATATGCACACGTGCCCACACCTACACACGTGCTTCCATACCACACACACGTGTGCACACATGCACCACGTGCCAGGACCCGCGCTCAGCACCTCTGTACACTCGCTCACTCACAGACACCAAAGTGGGTGATGTTCTGTGTTTCAGATGAGGAAGCCAAGGCTGACCCTGGCCATGCTGGCCTGGAGAACCAGCCCCTGGACTCTGAGCTGGGCTCCAGGCTCATTCTGACACACCCAGGGCCAGGGTGGGGGTGGGTGCGAGCACGGGAGGAGCCACAGAGTTGTCGTCAGCCATCTCTCTCTGGCCCTGGCTCTCGCCTTAGAGATGCTGAGCCCTCAGCTGAATGAGGCTGGCTCCTGCCAACCCCAGGAGACTCCGCCAGAGCCCAGAGCCCTGGACACCTTAGGCTGCCACCACCCAGCATCAAAGCCCCCGCACCGAGCCTGGGGGAGGTTCGGGCGCTGGAGAAGGATGGAGAAATTAAATGCGCAGGGCGCTGTGGACCATTTAAGTGGCTCTGGAGCTCTGGCACTGCCCGGTGGCTACCCAAGACAGGTAGGGACGGTCCTGCACATGGGCCACAAGGCTGAGCACTGCCCAGCCCCACCTGCTGCTAGATGTTCCCTCCTCGGGAGCAACATGGGCACCCTGCTAGAGGCCCCGCCATCCCCGTCTCTTGCCGCCTGGCACCTAGCATCCTGTCTGCTCCCTACTGACAGCAGCTACCTCTGGTTGGCCTCTGAAACTGTCCCACCTGACCGGCACCAGCCCCAGGATTGTTTGAGACGACGATGCTCAGTGGGACTGCTCTCTCCCCCACCAAGCTCGGGTGGTTGCTCACATACAGCAGGTCACCTGAACAAGTCCGAAAATACACAGGGAGGTCTCTGTGCCACCACGCCTGCACACAGGTCCACGCAGGGAGACGAGGCTGCAGAACCCACAAGGCCGTGTAGCAGTAACCAGAGCTGCTTCGCTCCAGGGTCAGGCTCTGGAAGCACAGCCCTTCTCCTGGGGCCTCAGCCTGGGGTCTCCATCCTGTCCGCTGAGCACACAGAGATTGGCACAGATGGTGGGGTGCCACGTGCTCTGGGATGCTGTTGGGGTCAGTGAGACCTGGGGCCGGGGGCTGCAGGGCAAGCTGAGCACAGAGAAAAGGAGACAGATCAACAGGGCACCGTGCCTGTGTGCTGGGATGCCCTCCTCAGCTCATACCATCGCTTAAAGTTACCGTGCTTTCAAACGCTGTTCGAGTGACGCGTCCTTTTTAGAAAACTTAGAAGTTACGGAAAAACAAAAAGGAAATAAAAGCTCCCTGTCCCTGTGGCACCGGGATGCCTGAGTGAGCAGCGGCCTGTGGGCTGAATGGCCCAGTGGTGGCTCCTAGGGGGGCTGCAGGTTTTCTCAGAGATGCTGCTTTTGTTCCAATACAGAATTCCAACACTGGTCCTCAAGAACGCTTTTCTCCCAGGAGAACTGAAAACAGAGAATTGAACAGATACGTGCGCGCCCGTGATCACAACCGCGTTCTTCACAGCAGCGGCAGCTCGCGTGCACAGTAGCCACGGAACGTTCCTCAGCCCTCAAGAGGCAGGACACTCTTGACACCTGCCACAGCATGGACGGGCCTTGCGGACACGAGGCTGAGT